CGATGCGGCAGGCATGCGGTGCCGCAAGGGTGCCGCAAAGTTTGGCCTAGAACCCGCCTTTTCCTACTACTCAAGTCAAATTTCGCCTATAAATTTAATCGTTGCGGTTTTTTTGTTCGCTCTCGCAGACCCATTTCATTTCCTTGATTTTTTTTTTTTTGTTTTTGTAAATTTACTCGTTTGCGAAATCTGGTACAAAAAAGAAACTGGTTTCGATTTTGTTTGAACGTAACATTACGTACTCTCTCTCGGTGCAGTCAATAACAACAAATGTGTCGTTTGTCGTATGTCGTATGTAGTTAATCATATTTGTGCGAATAGTGACTATGCGAATGTAATACGTAGTGGAAAACTACAATTGATTGCAAAACAAGTTCTCTCGCATTTTTAAATGCCACATTTATTAACCACTTTATTTAATTTCAATTTTTATTGTTTGTTTTTCCATTTACTCTACAGAAGAATGAATGTCTTGATTAGGCCGTGTTCGTGTCTCGGCTACGGTGTTTTAATTTACACATGAATTTCTAAAAGAAAAAAAACGTCAACAACAAAAAAATACGAAACGTTCTAGCAAAAACGAACATTGACAAACGTAAAAAAATTGTAATCGTCGTAATAAGTGCGTATTATAGGACTCGTGTCAGCTGAGTTCTATACACAGCCATTGAAGGTGTGGAATAATTTGTAATTGATTTGGAAGTTGGTGTTTCACCGCCCATTTGCTTGCTAAAAATGGGATATGAATTGACTCGATTCCAAGGCGATGTCGATGAAGAGCTTGTTTGTCCCATTTGTGCTGGTGTATTAGAGGAACCATTACAGGCAGCAGTCTGTGAACATGCATTTTGCAGAGCATGCATCACGGAATGGCTTTCACGCCAACCCACCTGTCCCGTCGATCGAAATGCAATCACAACAACAAATCTTCGTCCAGTACCGCGCATTCTGAAGAATTTATTGGCCAGGTAACATTCAAAGAAGAATTTTACATGGAATTTCATTTCTGGATTGATTGGAGAATTTTTTTTGAATTGAATTGAATATTTCAGACTGATCATATCATGTGATAATGCCATTTATGGATGTACACAAATTTTGAAATTGGATGCGCTTAGTAATCATCTGGAAGAATGTGAGCACAACCCAAAGAAACCGTTACCATGTGAACGTGGATGCGGTTCGATTATACCCAAAGATGAATTTAAAGATCATAATTGCATTCGTGAATTGCGTGCGGTAATCCCTAGGGGCAAATCACTTAAAAATTACTTACTAATTATTATTGATTGTTTTACGATTATTTTTCGATTAGTTTCGATTATTATCGTCATTCACATTCATACATTAATTGTAATATATGTATTACGTATGAGATTGTCAAATGACGATGATGGAAATTGAATCTATGTGAAATAAAAAAGAAGTGTGTGTGTGTGTGTGTGTGTGTGTGTGGATGATTGGGAGTGAATGAGTGAGTGATAGATGATTGGGAAACCATTAGAATGTAAGAAACTATATAGTTTGACCACAAACACACACATACTTATATGAAAGACACAAAATTCGCAACAGCAAATAACAGATTGCTGACAAATATTTGAGATTTGGTAGTAGTAGTGGATACACACAACAGCATCGGAGCATCGTCACAGCGACAACATGACATACGACACCAGTAACAACAACAAAAGGTGATTGTCAAAACTTTTCATAGTAGCTAACACATTCGCTGTTGTACACACAATTTGATCTTGCATCGGAACAACGTCACAGCGGCAACGACAATATGGCGTAGCGAATGGACAATACTGCGAGCACAGTGGCAACGACAAAAAATCACATTCGGGTAAGCATATTCAAATGCATTGTATTGTGTTATTGAAAACGGCGTTGACATAAATTGTGTATTGGTATTGTGTATGGCGCGCATTTACCAAAATCGAATGCGCATTTGTGTGAGTCTGTGTATTTTACAAATTTTCCGGCATCGCAATATAATACATTTCACTTGTCGTTTGACACACAAACAGTGCGGACATTCTGAACAGAATTAGGAATAGAATAGAAATGAAAGAGACTTAAGTGATGTGATTCCGGACGATGTGCAAGCTGCTTTCGATGCCAACAAAATCGAAAAGATAATTGGCAACGATCCCGGCGAAAAAGTGATGATTGCGGCCACTCGTCTTAATATTGCGGCTGAAGAAGAAGTGAGCTATCGTCTGACATCGAAACAATGGCATTGGCGAGTGGGCACGGTTAAACACAAGAAAATGATGAAGACATTCACCGGCAAGTTTGAAGCCGAGTGTAGACGTCTACGTGAAAATCGTGAGGAATTTCCTGAGGCTCCATCGATGAAAAGCCGAGATCACGAGACGTATCTTGCATACAAGTTGTGAGTCTTCGAAGAATCTGGTCAAGTCAAGTACAAACGGCGTGTTGCACGATTGAGGTTTGATAAGTATGTGCAAACACAAGTGACGGCTCATGAAATTTGTCGTGAAATGACTGGTCTGCAACAGGAAATTCCGAATAGAGAAGATCGCAAAACCATTTATGCCAAACTCGCCGCAAACTCACCGATAAGAAGCCATTTGCGTTCTCCAAAACCAGGTGTCAAAGAGCCGGGCACTTCAATGTTCTGTAGTAAGTGTCGTGACATGACGGAAAGAGCGAAGGAAGTTGCCCGGCGAAAAGGACACATTGAGAACTATAACATAAAGGATCGGTAAGTTGTTTTGTTTTTAAATGTTTTTTTTTCGTTTTCCTCTTTTGTTATTTAATTACATTATAAATTTTGTATCGTTAGTTTCGTAGTTTGCCACAACTGTTCAACGGCCCCAAATATTGTTCTCAAAACTCCTGAGAAATGGACGATGAAAGTGCACCACAGTCGACGAAAGAAAATGAGGGCTGCACCAAGACCGAAGACAATTGACTATGAGCCCGAATTCCAACTGAGAAAAAAAGGTGTTGTGATGGATCGCGATCACAATTTTTTTTTTTTTTTTTAATTTCTTTCAACTCCTAGTGGAGCATAGGGCCTTGAGATAAGAATTCTTTATCTTTCTGGTTTCTGTTGATCAATTAATTCAGATAAATCGGTGATCAGCCGATTGTATCCTACATTTCTTATGATTTTGCCATATTCTATATGGCGTTGGATTTCTATTTTACGTGTCTGTGCTGAAATCCATACCTTTGTTGTACACAGACACGGTTGACACAGTATTTTACGACTACATACGATGTTCTAAACGATCACCCATTTATCTCCTGACCAAAGCTTGTGCAGCTTAACTCAGTTGATCGAATAGTGCCGCAGTAGTCGTAGTAGCCACTGTGCCCACATGCTTCACGCAATATGATTTACAAAGCATTGCGTAAGCTACATCGTCAACCAGATGATTCCATTTTCAATATGAGTGCTGCCGCATGGAAACAACAATATCGTCCGAATCCAGTACTTCGAGCGAATCGCCCGAATCGTGCGAATCGTGTAGCATAATAGTAAAAGAAATTGAGCCGCGGTCGTTCTATTAGTAGGTTGCATTTTTAATTTGATTGCAATTCAAATTACTCTCTCATATGAATCTTTAATATTTGCTTATTATTTATTAATATTCATTGTTTGTTTCATTCTTTAATCTAGGAAGTGACCAGCGCGACCCAACCCTATCGTATTAAGACGGTAGGGAGTACTATTCTATAGTGAGCATTTTGTTTTTTTTTCTCTTTCACAGAAATCGACGATTACAACTACCAAATCTCAAATTAAAGCAATTGCTGAAAATTAATGTTGTTGTGGTTATTGCTTTGCGATTTTTTCATTATATGTTTCCGATTATTTGTCGATTATTTGTCGATTACTTTAAATTAATTCTATTCTTTTCTTTTGTGATTCTCCCCTTAGGTAATCCATTCAGAGCAACAAAAAATGGTTGATATGAAAAATGAAATCAGTGATCAAAATCTATTGATAAACGAATTGAAGCGGGAATTTCAATTATTTAAAGAGCTCATGAGAGCGTCAAATCCAGCCATGAGAGCAATTGCCGATCAAATGGAACGTGATGAAGTTGTGCGTTGGAGCAATTCATTGGCACGAGCACGTGTTACACGATGGGGTGGCATGATATCAACGCCAGATGATGCTTTACAGGTAACATATTAAAAAAGAAGAAGAAAAAAAATCAAAACATTCAACATATTTTCTATTCTCTTTCACTATAGATGATGATAAAACGTGCTTTGTCAGAATCCGGATGTCCGCCTCATATTTTAGAAATACTAATGGAAAAGTGTCATGAGAGACGATGGCCGCCTGGACTTAATTCATTGGAGACAAGACAGAATAACCGTAGAACATACGATAAGTATGTGTGTCGACGAATTCCTGGTACGTCCCTGCAAAATCAGTCATCAACATCCATTTTATCTAACAATTTATTTGCTTTCTTCTCTGAAAATAGGTAAACAAGCCGTACTAGTGTTAAGTTGCGATAACCCGCATATGAGTGATGATGTAATGGTGGAACCAGGTTTAGTTATGATATTTGCACATGGCGTCGAGTAACGAGACCACAACACTACTATTATTTCAAAGCTATTTTAAGACATAATGCAAAGAAAATGCAAATGATTCGATAAAGACGTCTTATTATATATATAAATTGAAAGAATTGTTGGTTTTTCTACGTTTATTTGAAAGAGAAAAAAACACCCACACAACAATACATTCACAACATTCAAATCATAAAATCATTTTTTGTGTGTGTTATAATCAGCTACATCTCAGTAATTCGATTTCATAGATTTCATAAATTGGTCAAGTTCAATGTTAATGGTTATTTTTCGATTTTTTCTAAACATCGATGTGAATTTTATTTTTTTATATTAGCTTTGGTTGTGAGACACACACAAAATCAAATAGCTGTCATCCAATATAAGGAGGTTACTGAGAATTTAAATTTTGTGTGATTGTTTAAAATTGAATTGCTCATCAAAACTTGAAAAATGAAACGAATTCATAAATGTTTTGCCTGTAATTTTCGTTGTTCATCGGTGATTATCGATTATTTCAGATGTGTGTTTCACATTTATAAATTAAACAATAGCTAATATTATAATTTCAAAGTCTCGATTATACTATATGCGCGATTTACGCACAGAATCATTAGAAAAAGAAATGGTTTGTTGCAAACACAAATAAATATATAAATAAATTAATGAAATTAAATTTAAAAAAAAATGACAAGATACATTATGCATGTATTCCAATTGTAATTGTAATGTATAGAGCTTAATAAAATTAGTGAAAAAAAGGTTGAAAATAAAAGAAAAAAACATAAATCAATCATAAGTAGAGTCCAAATGTGCTCCCTTGAACAAAATAAAGAAAAAAAATTCAAAAACTAGAATGAAATGGTTTTAATTGCATTACGACAAACATTTATTCAAAATCTTTAAACATTGTTTATTTCTTCTTTGTTCGACGCTTTGAGGATTTATGCCCGTTTTGTATGTCATTCTCATAAATATTGGGACGCTCAAGGAGTTTTGCCAAGTGGTTACGTAACTTTTCCAAATTGGTCGCAAAATTTGTTTCACGCTTTGACAAATTCTTAATAATACGATTAATGACAACGGCTGACTGTGATATTTCCATTGTTAAATCAATCAACAGACTTTCCATTTCGGTGATGATAATATTACGTTTGTTGATTGCTTCCGATAAAACATTCACTTCAAACCGATTTTCATCATAGCGATTCACGTCAATGTCATTCGATCTTTGATCGATGGCATCGTCAAAATTTCGAATTTCGACGGTGTCGTTAAGCGTCACTCTCTCATTTATTTGCGAATTATTGTATTTTTTCTGCAACAATTCATTCCATTGATTGATTTTCTTTTGAATTTCATCGCCCAAATAGAGTACATCGTGCTTGTATTTCTGTTTATCGCGTTCAATTTGTGTCATCTGTTCTCGCACACTGTTTATTTTCGCATGTAAATTGGCCATATCATCGGCAGTCATATGATTTCGTGTTTTTTGTTCCGATAAATCACCAATCGCTTGTGCCAATTTATGTGCCGTTTGCTTTAAACTAACATTTAACATAAGCACTTGTTCTTTTTGCTGATCGATTTCCACTTTCAGTGCATCGTTTTCACTGAGCAACCGTTTAATGTATTTATTTTTTATATGAATTTTATACAAAAGATCTTTTTTCGTATCGACTGTTAACGGCTGCAATGAGTCCGCTTCGCCACCATTTGATGCATTGACAGTACCATCATCGTTTGATGCCTTTTTATTGCATACATGCTGTGCAATTTCACGATTTAACTGTCAAACGACCGTTGATTATACCGTGTGTGTGATGAAAATAACAATAATTGTATACGTCAATAAGATGAAGAACTTGTGTTGCACATCTTACCTCTTGAATGGTTTGGATATAGTATGATTCATCGGTCGCACTGTTTTTGGACAATTTTTTTTCTGGATCTAACAGATAGGTAGGAAGGGGATAAATTCAATGAAACTTTTTATGTATTATTCTATTGAACTAACCTTTAGCCAATGTCTTTTTTTTCTTTGTGTCATTTGACAGGCGGTTGATGAGAAAACGATTTAATTCAAAAAAATTTCGCAATTCATCAACATTTAATTCATTCACATCAATTGAAGATAAATGATTTGGAATTGTCTCCAATACTCCAGTGGTTAAATCATTTGGTCGAATCGACAAAATATTCGCCCAATCCATTCGAAAGAAAAATTAATTTTGATTTTTTGTGATAACAATTTTTTTTTTAATATATTCTGACTTGTATGAACATTTTCAACGAGAAAATGTTTATATTTGTAAATGTGCCTTAGTTGGTACCATAGTAACCAGAATTTTCAAACAATTTTTTTATAAGAATTTATAAAGCGCGTGCTTATTCACACCAACACATGAACGTATATACGTTGAACAATGTAAAAATAGAATATTTAAGCAAAAAAAACTGAATGGCATTGCATCAAGTGCATTGTATTATTTTTGTACAATAATAACATATGCACAATTCATAGAATTGATGAAGATTCATTGAGTATTGATGAATCGCTTTGGGCAGACATTTTAATGCATCGTGTAACAAGCAATTTTGATTATATTTCACTTAGTATTCGTTTCGATGAATTTATACATTTTTCAACATGTTTGGATGCAAATTGTTCGATGAAAATGTTGAATGTCAATACTTTAGATTTTTTTTTTGAGAAATATTTTCAACGTTGTCGAATTTTGTATTCATAGCAAATTCATTTTGAATGCGATCAATTATTTTCATTTTCAAAAATATTTTAAAAATCAATTTTTGTTACTTTTATAATATGCACAGAAGGTTGTACGATTTCATACAACGAAAAAAAGAACTTATTCAATGTAAGTCAAATATATATCAAAAGGTCAGTTCGCCTCAGCATATCTATAGATTTTTATTGATGATTATTAAAGTGTGTAAGATTTTTCGTGTCATGATCAAGATAATTTTTCGGTAAAAACGCGGTATTTTGTTTCTGCTTCAAAACAAAATGAAATTATTGTAACAATGCTATTTTGCTAGAGAATTATAATCAGAGAATTTTCAATCGAAATAAAGACCGTAAATTGTTGCGATTGCAAATAGATTTGGTGTTTCATAGACATGAGTGGCAATTTTATCAAATTTTTTTTCCCAAAGACATCGATGATACGCACATAGACCTTGCATTGAATTTTGCACAATGGAAACAACGCAAATGAGTTTGTATCTAGAAATGTTGTTTTTTTTTTTAAAATTAAATACATGGTAAATAATTTGCACAGTAAACGATAAAAGAAAATTCGAAATAAACCTGTCAAAATTCAGTTTTCTTGTTTGTGTCAAAATTTGTTGGCTTAATTTTGAGACCTTTTCTTCTGCTGCTTCGGCTGTATATTCAAATTCGTCAAAAGCCGTTTCAAAGACATGTTTCAAAATATTTTCACACTTTTCGGTATTAAAAGGATTTTTTGGCTCCAGTCGATAGGTTGGTAAAAGTCTAACCAAAGAATTATGCTGGAATGATAGTGATTTTTTTTGAATTTTTTTCAAATTCTATTTAAAAGCTGCTAATTTACTCACTCTTGATTCAGTCATAGTACTTTCCGATCCAACTAAATTAACATCAAACAAAATGGAAATAATAATTATTTAAAAATATGGTGTAAATCGAAATGAGCAATAAAACAACGTCTTGCATTTGATGCCACGTAAAATAGCCACTTAAATGCAATCATCCAAATGCTAAGCAATTTGCAAATACTATCAACGCACCACGTTTCATTTCATTGGGCTATAATTTTGAATTTTTGTATCGAAAAAAAAATTATTCAAAAAAAATAATTGCTATCATGATGTAGAATGCGATCGATTTTATGATCGAAACCTTCGCTTAGCAAACAGAACCGCTTGATTTGCATAAAACAATTATTTGCATGAATTTTCAACGAAAAATTACCAAACCGAAAGAAGGTAGAAAAAAATATATTTTCATTTGTAATGGAAGTGTTCATTTTATCGAACAAGATCCTATTTGATTCGCTTTCGCACGAACAGTTGGTTGTATAGATAGTTTTCTTTTCTCGCTTGATCGAGATAATTTGGCGTGAAAACGCACATAAAATCCATTAAAATTGAGTGAAACACAACTCATGAAATATTTTCATGCTTTTAGCTCTGTGCCATATTTCATTAACATTCTCGTTAACCTATGGATGCTGCTTTTTTTCTATTTCGTGATTTTCTTTTTGAATCGATATTTGAAATTCGAAGCATTTTCAACTCCAGAGAGACGCGAAAGAAAGTCACAGAAAAAAAGAGGAACATAACACATGTGGGACGTCTACAGGATTTTGTTTTGAGATTGATTTTCCAAAAAATTCTCAACTGATTTCGACGTTTAATCCCTTGACCAGAAATGAAATGAACGTTGGAATGTTATGATTTGATTTGTTTGTTTTTACATTAAAATGACAATGATTTATTATTTTGAGCAAATAATTGCGTGGTATTTTAAATGGTCACACCAAATGAATTTATCTACAAATTCTATTAAATATTAATCCGATCGTAACTTTAACTCTCATCAATGAATAACACTAATTGCGCGTTAATTTCGATTTCAATTTGGACGGTAAAATAAATAAATCGAATAAAACCAAAATAAGAGGTTGCCCTTCGCGTGCAAAAATAAACTAATGCATTACCATCTTTTCATAAGATCATAACAATAGCGGTTGTATGTGTGTGGCTGAAAGTTTGATCAATAAGTCTTCATAGTGATTTCTTTTCCATTAAAAAAAGAAGCAAGTTAATAAATACTGAAATGTGTAAACTGACTTGTTGAATTAATAAGAAGAAATGTCGTCATTATAGCGGTTTGTGTACTTTTTTTTATCTCAAGTGCTTGTTGTACGATATGTGTAGTAGAACAAAATCAAAACAAATAACCTATCCCGGAAGTCTATATATGTATTGTTGGAAAACCCCAAGTTTTGCTTGATGACGTTCTTGAATTAATCGTCATATACGTGTGTACGTGTCTATTAGTAAATGTCTCAAATCAAAAAAATTGAAAGTAAATTACACGTCGTGCAGCACTTCGTGAAAACTGTGAAGAAGTAAACAGTAAAGATCGAATTGTATTAACGCAGAACGACGAATTTTTGAACATTGATTTAGAAGAAGAATTGGAATAGAATGTTTTGTTTAGTTCACAATATGAAATGGTTCTTTTAATAATAATTTTTTATCATATCCAAAAAATCATGTCTTCATAAACAACTCAAGAGCGAATGTATCGGCCAACGTTATTGTGTATGGCATCGATCGTGAATTCCAATCGGTTTCGATTTAAAATGTATTCCATTCAGACGAATTTATGTCTTTTTTCTCTCTGTTCCGTGCCGGCAAGTGAATACGCACACACACACACACACACACACACACACACACACACACACACACACATATGCCATATTCGATATTCGAGAGACACGAATGATAGACGCATAAAACAAAACGATGTGCAAAAGATTTGGTATTGAACGTTTGTAGAATGGAGAATAAAACGAATTAAAAAAAAAAACAACCTGTTGCTGATTTCTCTTCCAACCGTCAACATACATTCGCAACATAGTGAATATATTTAGTTTTGTGTGTTGCAAACGAAACAAATACGCAACACTACAACCGATGAGCAATGACCATTTACCGTCACTCTGTTATGTTTGTCGAGTTGCGAGCCTCAGTAACACAAATACGTCGACAGAAATGGAGTAGAGTGTGCTCTCCACTACGTTTCAGAGAGTGGATACACATTGAATATGTGTGGCATATCTTAAACGCACACAATAACATCAATAGAGCAGAGCCAACAAGCATTGAATGAGCTGTGTGAAATGCGGTATGTTCAAATTGCTTGGTTCACTTTTTAGAAATTGTTTACGGCAAAACACATTCCGTTTTGGTTAGTCTTCGATTGTAAGTTAGAGTGTTCGAACGTCACTGTCTGTTCATTTTGAATTTCGGTTTGAATGATACGAAGTCAAAATACAATGAAGCAAAGCTAAAAAAAATTTGTGAGAGAAAAAAAAGCGAAAGAAAGAAAGAGAAGCAAAACAAAACAATTATTTGCTGAAGAAAAGAGAAGAAGAAAAAAAATATCGTGCAAAATAGTAAGAGTGCTGTTTTTGTTTACTCCAATTTGTGACGATAGAGAGCAATATTGGCTAAGAAAGTATCTCTACTCTCTGGTGCGTCAGTGTGTATAAAAAAAGAATCTCACAAGTTTTTCTTTACGTTTAATTTATTATTATTTATTACGATTTAGCATTTGTGAACAATTTAATATCGGTTAAAACGAATAAACTAAGCGCAAAAACTGACATTTCAACATCATCATTGCGAAAGTGATAAATTTAGTGCATTTTGATCGTCCATGTGTTTGAATAACAACCACATTAAATCAGGGATTTGAAGAGAGAATATTTAGTAATTAAAAAAAGAGTAAGTTTACATCAAACAAAGTAACTATTTACTTTGTGCATTCTATTTCTGTTTTACTAATAACTTCGGAAGAAAATCAAAAAAAATACAATCAAGTTTAAATTAGCGAAGCGTGATGTTGCAGCGATTAAAAAAGACAAATTTGTCGTGCTAGTACACGCGCGCACACACGTTTCGAGCCGAACACCACAATACAATATTAAAACAAATCACAATACACTTAATTTGACAAATACAATTTGCGTAAAACAACCGCGCATAAAATTTGCATTTGACTATTAAAAATCACAGTAGTGAATGGTATATTGCCACCTGGTGCGATAAGTAATTTAAACGCGTTTGCAAGTTGTGAGTTTGAGTTCTTTTTTTTTCATTTCATTTGTGTGCCTCAAATTATATTAAAAAACTATATTTAAAGTTGGAAGTTTTATGAAGAAAAAAAGTATGTTATTGAATTGAATTTTCGAATTTTGAATCAAAAGAAATCGGAAAGAATCAAACAAGTAAAATGCTAGTAAACAAGAGAACGGGTTTTGAATTTTATCTGGATATATACGCTTGTTTTGCTTCTTCTCGCCTCTGCCTTTGATTGTCGTCTCCTCCATTCAATAGTCGTGTTTCATTCGATACTGTGTCAAACAAAACCGATACCACATTATTGATGAAGAGAAGAAAAAAATGAAACATCGAGAAAAAATGGCAAACAATTCACGATGCAGCAATTTACAGAGAGAAAATCGAATCCATTTCATTTCATTCAAGATGATGAAGAAGAAATCCGATTCATTTCTGGAGTGTACTCAATCGATATATAATGGCGATGATAAATGATCAATGATAACGATCAAAACGCGCTAAATCGCATTATGTGCAGAACTCAAAGTGTCGTCTGAGCATGATGAAAAGAAACAAAGCCCATTGCTGATGTTGGTCTTTTTTGCAACCAAATGAAAGTTTTGTGTACATAATTTGTTAAACTGCACAAATGACTTTTACAGTGATCATTACATTAATTCATAGTGATTATGATGAATTCAATGCAATGTTAATACACACATGTACCCAAGAGTAACACATGTACCCAAGAAGTGCACATGTACCCAAGAGTAAAATTAAGTAAAATGTAAGCCATCGATGTAAGAAAAAAGATTACCTTTAATACTGACACTACGTCAGTAATGTGGGCTATATGCATATGCACTGCTTCGTTCTGCTATCCATGGTAGAATACGTACTTGTAAGCAAAGCCCGCGGCATTCGACATACGGTGTATAAGCATTCGAAATCAATATATACTCAGAAACAGAAATTCAAGAGTTGGCGAACTGTAAGCATTTCTGTAAAATGAAAAATAGCCGAGACACACATATTTCGGTTTGTGCTTGTGCTTATGCTTTTAAGCACGAAAAAAAAACAGAAATTAAATAAATGGCATGTTTTTCAATGATTTTTCAAATCGTTTTAAATTGTCGATTTAAATTGATGGAATAAAAGTTAAATAAAAAAAATACAAAATCTCATTTAATCGTATGATTTCACGGTGCAACTATAAATGAAAAAGACCTTTAATACAGAATGCAAAACAGCATTCCAAAAACCATACGAACATAATGTGAAGCAGATAATTGCATCGAGCTACTCATTTACCAGCAAATTTAACCCATGTTTTTTTTTGAGTTATTGTCTTAAACGAGAAAAATGTTGCTGCTGTATAAGACAAAAATATCCTCAGCCCTTTTTTTTACTGAGGCATGGTGAAAAATGTCCAACAGCAGTCGGTAAGACACAACGAGTGCGACTCTTTGTCAATGCCTTTTTTCAGAATTCCCCTAAAAACCCGATTCTAATCTAAATAATAGTGTATGGAGTGTGTTTAAAGACACACAAGCATGTTTGAGTTAAAATATAATCAAAACAACTATGCTCACTTTCTGGTAAATGAGCAACATTAGTCTAGTCAACTGAATTCAGTGCATTCTTTCATAGCAATGACTTGTTCACCTTGTGTTACATGCAATGAAACCGTAACTTTGTATATATTCGCTCTTCGCTCTTCATCGCGCGCATTAATGGCATTCGGCATTCAGTTGTCATGCCTGGTTTTTCTTTCTCTCCTTCTCATATATTTAATATTTTGTGATATGTTTTTTTTCGTATGTTATTTCTTCGCCTGCTTTTTTTTCTTTTTTTTGCCAGTCACAATCATATTATGAATGGAGCAATTTTCACGAGTTTTGCTCAAAACGCACACGTTATCAAAGTTCTATTTCGATTAAGTTTCACTTAAATGGCATCACTTTTGATTTGAAAAACAACAACAAAATGCTTCGATCCAAATGGCATACATAGGTAGAAAAATCGTGACGAGGGGGTTTATTACCTATTTCCGAAACCAATCGAAACTGAATCGTACTAGACAAGGTCAATGAGAAATAAATATGTGGAAAATTGATTGAAAATGAAGTATTGAGTTCATAAATGGGGTTTTTGTGTAATTTATATTGCGGGCAAAGTGTTTTCGATCAATTCAAACATGCGATCGAATGTGATAAATGTTTGTAAGTGAAAAGTCGCAGTGAATTTCGAACGTGTGTTTTTTTTTTCTTTCTTAAGAATATTGACTTGATTTCCGGGGCAAAAATAAACGAAATGAAAACGAAAAGGACAAATGACATGAATAACAGCACCTACAATTTAATAAGCATGAGTTCTAATTTTTCTAAGTGAACGCGCGCAGAAGAGAATAAAAGTAAAGCCAAAGAAAAAAACTTTGTAACACGTTTGCCAACATATATATTGACGAAGCGGACACACGCCCAAACGAAATACCGCTTTTCAACGATTTGTATGCCGAAACATAAACATTGGACGCTTATTTATACAATACGACCGAATTCAAATTGAACATGAAAACTGAATTTAATCAAATACTCAATGTTGATAGTTTTCACACAGTCAAATTGACCTGCACCGCGTGCGCTAAAGCGGTTCAACAACGATATTTGTTGAAATAATTGTTATTTCATGAGCATGACCACAATAACAATTTGAATGACAATCAAAGTGTTTTTTTTTTCTTCTTCGATTTGGAAAAGAATTACAAAGAAATTCCAATTTGTCGTCCACTGCGACTCTTCTGCATTGCATGAAAACACCTTCACACAATTAATTAAAGAAAATTTTTTCTTAGAAAATCAAATATCCGCTATCAACTTGCCACAACCAAAATGATTGAAAATTCGACAATAGTTCAACGGTTTATGTACCGTCGACATATTACCAAACACACCATGAATCGCCATTGAATATTACTTACGCTAATTCCATTTATTTTAATAACAGCATGACCAGTTCATTTTGAAATACCAAATCTCTAGTACTTGAGCCTTAATTTTAATGTCGAATTATGCTTGTCACACTCAAGGTCCCAATCTTTGTCGCTTTATTTCAGTGCCAATTTTTTTTTCTGCCTTCAACATCAAATGACGGACGGGTCCAAATAGATAATAACATGTAAAAACTCTATAAGAAAAATGTGTTCTTTTTTCTTCTTTCGCTTGAAAATACGCCTAGCTTCAAACGGTTTATTCGGAATTTCAAGAACGAAAAAAAGTATCGAACAGTTTGAATTAGTCAATAGAAGCAGAAATTGACTTTTATCAATTGATTTCAAGGTTCGCTATAGCGAAAAATACAAAAAACATTTGTTGTGGCAAATTCATCCATTATCGGGCATATGTTGACGGTCAATATTGGGGTCGGATTTGAGTGTAGTTTCAGTAATTTTCAACGTCGCAATGGAAAGAAAAAAGAGAAAAAATAAACTCAGTTACTAAGTATGAATCAACATCAATATACTATCGGTTCAGTTATACTCACCTACGGGTTATTTTATATACCGAACTGCCCGTACTTCGGTCAAGGCCACAAAACTCAAGCCCAGCATAGTAACAAAACGTTACAATAATATTATTTAAAAGAAATCTTAATGCTACATGTAATTAAAACTGGTCGTCATCGGAAACATCGAGAACATAAACGTAATGGAGCTCGATCATCTTTCCAAATGCCAGTGTTTAGTTGCCAGTTTTTGAAACATACTTGAAGTTTTGACACTAAACCGTCTGAATCCATTGGAATATGATCTGGGTTGGCTGAATTCAATCGACTAACAAAATCAACTGCATATTTACGCAATTGTTGGTACACTCGGTTGCTTTTCATGGTGATAATCACGTTCGGTAAATTCCATTGCGATGACTCATCTTCACTTGGAATACAATGCTGACAAACTTTGTATCGATCGCTTTTGGTTCGTCGATCGAATGGCCGGAAACATTTTGCACAAGTTTGCGATGTATTGTATTCGTCGACCAATCGTACAATATAATTTCCCAACTTCTTGAAACTGTTCAATAGTCGTCGTAATCCCGGGCATCGCAATCGCTTTTTAATACCAATTGGTGAGTTTGGAGCTATTTGAGCTCCACCAATAAAAACGAGCGCCGACTTTTTTTCTCGTCAGTGATGCCGCAATATTGTCACTGGCCCGATTCTCTTCGATGTATTTATCGAGACGGAGTCGAATGAACTTTCGTGTTGTGTACACCGCCATAGCTGGTTTCATCATTTTCACATAATAAGCGATGTAAGACATTCAATGTGAACGTCCTTTCGGCGATGGAAAAAATGCGTAGCGTTTATATCGGATTTACGCTTGCGTTTGCCATATTTCGCTTTGAAATGGTATTTTGGACCATCAATTGTGATGTTTTCCTGAGATTTACGAACAAAAAATCATAGAAGTAAACAAATGATAAATAAAGAATGAATTTATTGTTTCTTACCTCGTTGCCGGATCGAACGTGTTTGCGAACGGTGGCGTTCCATGTACGAACTCCTGGATCGATTCCAAGCACATAATCAAACTCAAAATTATTGTACTTCTCTTTGATGGTGTTGTTATCAAGTTCTGGTGTATTGCGTTCAGGCTTCACGAAACATAACGAAACTGCCACACTATCGGTTGCCACAGCAAAATCGAATTCCTTACCATTTCCAAGTTTCGAAATTTTTGGCATGTCAAATATTAAATCCCAATAGATAGCTGGATTGCTATCGTATTCAGTTTTTTCAATGTTTATTGGCTGACAGCGTTTTCCTTTTGCCAATTTCAATGCTCCAAATTTGCTCGCAATCCTAGGGGGAAATAACAAAAATTTATTGAATTTTTATTTGGGGTTATTGCACGAGTATTAACATCTATTTACCGTATTGAATGATATTTACAAATATTGATCGTATTGAGTCATATTGTTGAGACGTAAATACTTGTCAATACTGGAAATGAATGTAAATACGCGTAAATAAAAATTTCATTTGTCAAACCTAATGTCAAACTGTCTTATCGACTGAATTATTCATACAAAAAACTCTAAAAAGTATACTTTTTGTAAAAAAAAAAATAAAAATAAAAAATTTTTTAATGTTTTTTAGCGGAAATTAATTTTCTTTTTAATTTTGCTGGGATTTGTGCGGTGATTATTCGCTGATTATTAAATCACAAATAAATATGCGTAACATAACCTCACTTTTAATTACGTAATCAAAATTTACGTAATAAAGTATAACGTACGAATTTTTTTATTCATTTATCTAGCAGCAACCACTTTATTAATTGAAATGGTTCTAATAAATAAAGTGGTTACTGCTATACATTTCAATGTAAAAATAAGTGGTTACTTCGGATCGTAACCAAAAACCTATCCAAAAGCACTGACGCGACCCTAATAATCCGTAAATATATTTTTAAATATTATTATTGTTTTCGAATATAGATTAAATCTAGGGATTAATTTTATTTTCATTTTTGTGACACCAATCCCGTTCAAAATATTTACAAATAAATAAATGAATAAAAAATTCAAAATAAATATGAATTGCATAACCTCACTTTATTGCGTAAATTTTAATTACGTAATTAGAAAATTTAAATAAATATTTTTATTGAATATAGATTAAATCTAGGATTAATCAGGGGATTAATTTCATTTTCATTTTTGTGACACCAATCCCGTTCAAAATATTTACATATAAATAAATTAATAAAAAAATTCGTACGTAATACTTTATTACGTAAATTTTAATTACGTAATTAAAAGTGAGGTTATGTTACGCATATTTATTTCTGATTTAATAATCAGCGAATAATCACCGCACAAATCCCAGCAAAATTAAAAAGAAAATTAATTTCCGCTAAAAAACATTAAAAAAAAATTTATTTTTATTTTTTATTTACAAAAAGTATACTTTTTAGAGTTTTTTGTATGAATAATTCAGTCGATAAGACAGTTTGACATTAGCGATTGACGAAATTTTTATTTACGCGTATTTACATTCATTTCCAGCATTGAAAAGTATTTACACGTATTTACACGTATTGACATTTATTTTGTGTATTGAATCGTATTTTTTAGCTTTTTGACTTGTTCTCTCCCCCTAGTCGCAATCAAATAAAAAAGATGGATATCGATGCGGACTAGGGGGGAGACACCAAGAATAAATTCTGAATCCACTATATAAATTACTAATCCAGCTATTCCACTAATCCAAAAACATAAATATGAAATCGAAACTATTTTTCCTATTCCATGCACTGTTTCCATCAAAAATGTTAATTCTGCTATTCCGCACTATTCCACTAATCCATCAATAAACGTCAAAAGAAATGTTAAATGGATTTGAAGTGAAACAATTTTTTCTATTCCATGCACTGTTTCGCTATTCCACGCGAATCCATTCACAGGCGTTGCTATTTCATTGCAATTTCTCGAATCTTTACATTAAAAGTCTAATCCTATTCCACGTGTCTGCCCCCTAGGATGCGGATATGTTTCATATCGAAATCGTGGACTGGAATTACTAAAAAATTCTTTATTTTTGGCGGGAGTGGAGTGGTTGGCATGACATTATTGTTCGGATCGCGTCGATATGGGAACCAGCGTTGTTTCAACATTTCGTATTTCGCGTGAAAATCGAAAATTTGTCGCTGAATGTTTATAAATATGGGATGGTTTGGAACCAGCGATCACGAATGAGATTCTGGAAGTGTACATTGATTGGCAATCCAATGTTTCTCTCGACTCTACTCTGGAACATTACGATCTTCATCGCACGTTTTACATCCAATTCAGTGATGAGATTTCCTTGTCGATTGAAATACAGTTCGTAGCGCTTTAGCGTGAAAAATTTCTTGATGCGACTGAATGCCCATACTCTGATGTTATTTTTCACGTTTGTTATGTACTGAGTGATGAGATGATTGAATGCGTTCCCCATGCCTTCGTGAGCTGGCCAATTTTCTGGACGAAGAAAATCAGGACATGCTTGCTCCACAGTTCGTCGAAATGCAAGCGGTAATTTGTGGTAATTTTCTTGTAATACCGAGGTGAAACATTTACCAATTACACCATTCACGTATTTATTGAATTGATCATTCGTGTATTCATCGGATTCACCTTTAAAAAGTCGAACATTTTCATCGTCAAAGGCTTTGTTTGCTTTGAACAAAAACAGTAATGACGCCAGAGTCGTAATCATTGTGGACGAAAGGCACCAGTATGTGACCTGATCGATGAATGGTGCACGATACTCTTCCCGCAGCACTTGATTTAGAGTCATCTTCAACGACGTACTGCGTCCATTCTTGGCACTCTTTCTTCTCATCGTGACAGATCTATTGTACAAAAATTAAAGAAAAAAATACACCAAATATAGCATAGATCACAAACACAATAAGATATAAACACTTCTATCACAAATTAAATGAAACAGTAATGAAGAGCGCATTATAAATATCACCTCTTACCTCAACAAAGTGACTCTGTATTCTAAATCGAATGATGAAATTTATTTCCAACGTGACAACAAATATTTTGCCGATCGAAATGTTGTTGGAATATTCACAGTTAATTTTATCAACACTCTGTTATTTCGAAATCAAAACAAAGACAGTCACAAAACCAACTGTGAATATATCCATTCCACAGGGAACAGCATTCCAAACACATAAAATCGTTTTTGAAATGACAATAAAACCAATTGATCGCCCAAACCACGCTTCAAACACTCTCATATAATTCTCAAGAAATCCTGTTGAAAACAAAACAAAGTTTTATTGTAAACAAAATCGGTTGGTGCGATAGTTGTTTATACCAGTCTATGTATTTCAGATAGATATCCATCCGAGATATTTTAGAATATCTGGATATTTAACGCAGCTGCACAGAGCCAGAGCTGTGTGTATCGCACGTAGAATCTACGGTATGTCGCTACACGTAAAATACAGACACAGTGTGACTGTGTACGTGCGGCACTTGATACACATATACGTCGCGACATACCGTAGATTCTATTTGCGACGCACACAGCTCTGGCGCTGTGCAGTTGCGTTGAATATCCAGATATTCTAAAATATCTCGGATGGATATCTATCTGAAATACATAGACTGGTTTATACTAACTATTGTTAGTATAAGATGCGAGCACATTTTTAATACATATAAATGAATATCTTTGGATTTGGTTTGACACATATACACCGCGCCAATCGAAAAATGTCAGAAAGATGTCAGTTGCATTTCGAAAATTGAAAATAATAATTCCACAAATAAAGAAAATTAAATGCATTAAATGACGTATAAAAGAGATCTCCTGCAGAGTTTTAAATTAAATTATGCAAATCTCTTTCCGAATAAATTGTTTATTTTTTTATTTGAGCGTAAGATTTAGATTTTCAATTTAAAACTTAATGTATTGGGTTGTGTTCACATTATGTTGTGAAATGAAATATTATTGGAAGTGAAAGAAACAAGTGAAAGAAACAATCCATTCCATTGGAATTCGTGGAAAATATGCATATAATCTCCGTTCCATTTGACACAAAAATGACCACCAGAATGGGCCAAAACGTTACATTTTTCAACGTTAGAATGTACTAAAAACATTTCAAATTTGTTTGCTGGCTATAGCTATACAAATCGCTAAAAACAAACGATGGTTTTAAATCTGGTGAGAAGATTAAAAAAAATTGTCTTTGTCATTTAACGAAAAAAATGTTCAAAAAATGGAATAGTTTCCGATCATAAAAATTGTGCGCATTGACATTGAGACACATTAAAGTCAAGCAAAAATGATGTCAAAATTTAATTTTAATATGTTTTTTTTTTTTGGTTTGCGATATTACGTAGTGTCGCGACTGAATCACAAAATTCTTTGTGTTAAATTGATTCAGTCATAATCGGCCAAATGATCATAAATTTACGCAATCAACATTTCATATCGCGGTAGGTCGCGTCATATAAAAATGCAGAAGACACAAATGAATTGGAACTAGTACTAATAGTGTAGCACTTTCGATTTGTTGTTGATTTAAAATGTGATGTGCTGTCATGTGCAAAACACGCGGCAAAACAATAGACTGTGATTTGTTGTTCGGATATTCATGCATCCCTTGTCATGTATGCCCAAGAAGAAGAAGAAAAAAATCGTTATTTTGTGTTGGTGTAATGTTTTTATTATACTACAATTTTTTTTGCGGTTCATTTACATCAAATGAATTCATGTGTAGCTGTTGATGGTAAATAAAGTGTTGTAACTTTCATGCTTGGGCGTAATGCCTCACTTTCGTTTGCTCCATTCGACTGAATTGTTTTATTTTTCATCATATCGCTTCTACCTGCCATTTTAAATCTTTGCGAATGATTCATGATTTGTTTGGATTTGATTTATGCATAATGGATATATATGGTGTGTATACAATATGAAAAAGAAAATGAAAAGAAATGTTGAAATAGCAATAAAAATAGCGAACCTCTTTTGATTGACGTATACAAAATAATTGATCCATAAGATTGAATCGAAAGTGAATAGTTAATTAGTGTTAATTGCCGGCAAAAATTGCATGAATAAAAATTGTTCTCAATTTAGAATGAAATCGTTTGTTATTTTCTCTTTTTTGCGGCTCGTTGGACCTCGCTAAAGATTGAATATTATTTCGACTTGATCACATTTTAATGAATCGATAATTTTATTATGAAATTCGAATGTGATTATCCGTTAATACATCCAATGGTGTCAAATTAATG